GTCCATGTTCACCTTAAGACGGCCTATCCGTCTTAAGGTGAACATGGACAAAACAAAGATCATGTGAAACGTGACATAGTCGCACCTATGCCGGTAGTTATTGGAAGCACTAAGCTCGAAGTTGTTGACAAGTATGTTTACCTGGGACAAATAGTCCAATTAGGTAAGTCCAACTTCGATCGAGAGGTCAATCGACGGATTCAACTTGGCTGGGCAGCGTTCGGGAGATTACGACACATCTTCTCGTCAGGTATACCACAAAACATGAAAACGAGATTGTACAACCAGAGCGTGTTGCCAGTGATAACTCATGGATCTGAGACGTGGTCCTTCACTGCTGGCCGTATGAGGTACCTCAAGGTCGCTTAGTGAGCCATAGAGAGGGCTATGCTTTGGGTTTCTCTGCGTGATAAACTTAGAAATAAGGGCATCCGCAGTAGAACCAGAGTGACCGACATGGCCCAACGAATTAGGAAGCTGAAGTGGCAATGGGCTGGCCATATAGCTCGAAGAACCGACAACCGATGGGGAAAAAAGGTTCACGAGTGGCAGCCTCGTATTGGTAGACAAAGTGTAGGGTGACCCTCCAGTAGATGGAATGACGATCTGGTAAGACATGCCTCAGGACCGTGCTTTGTGGCATTCTTTGGGGGAGGCCTATATTCATCAGAGGACTTGTGATGGCTGTAATGATGATGATGATGATGACCATCAGGTGGACTGTGTAGTCGCTTATCACCCTTTTATTATTTACTATTAAAAAATCCTAATGGCTATTGGCTAATCATTATGTCTAGTCTCCATTGAGACTGGTCGAAATGACCGAAATTCGGACTGGAGGACAGTATTATAGAAAAATCCTACTCTTACATCTCCTGTACTTAGTGGTACATAGGGACCATCTTAAGACCACTATCAGCCTCGTACTAGAAACGATATAAAAAGGAAAGTGTAATGACCTGTCCCTGTACACCAACACTACGTTGCGAGTCTGTAAGCCAGCGAACGATGCTTTATAATTTATACTGATGTATAAGATATGTTTAATTATGATTGGCTATAATGATAATGACATTAATTAAATACTTATATTCTTGTCTTACATAATGCTCCTATACTTGCTTTTACCACTTATTGGATAATCTGTCATAGGAGAAACACTTAAAATTGACATGAACTGAAACCTTTCTGTTATTCTTATTATATCTGGTGTTGCAACCCTACATAGTAGAATCTATAAATCTATAATTATAATAAATCAAGGAAAGACTACCTGATGGTTTTCAATATAATTTAGTAAGCAGCCAATAAACGACCGTGTACAACATACAGGCAACTTTTTATCTGTCTACGGAAGAGTTGAAGACACAGATTTATTTTTTTAAGGAACAAGGGTGACAAACGAGCACACAGTCTACCTGATGATAAGTGGTTGCTGTGGCCCATAGACATCTACATCTATCCTCCATTAAAAATCAAAATGCAGATGCGTTGTCACCCGTGAGGACTGAGATGGAATGCCTCGTTTCCAGTAAAAAGGGTCTCCGGTTCTCTACACTCACCATACGAAATACAGCAGCATTAAGCTACCATTTTACGCTGGTATTCTGTGAGAGCGTGGTCCTTCCCCGGTCGAACCGACCCATTCGTGCTACAACTATACTACTAATATAACTGCAGCATGGCTCTTCCACGTACAATGTTAAAAATGTTTTATTTATATTACTATAGTATTTTTCCTTTATTTAATTCAATTTCATAAGAGCTGCTGGGGAGGGTATGTCTTTCTATAGTCGCTGCTCTGTGATCCAACTCTTATAACTTATACCTAAAAGTCAGCTACAATGTCTTACTAGGATCAGCTAATAAACAGTAGATTAGCACAATGACTTGACAATGACATTGAAGATAAGCAGGTCGCATCGGTTATAATTTATTACGTCACACGATGAAATAATATTGCAACATAATTTAACGGATACGGGACTCTGCAAAGTTAGCAGTGCAAACGCTATTTCATCCATTTATTCGTTAAAGCCTATACGTATATATAAGTCCAATGCAGAAGACATGACCACAGATTGTCTTATTAGGGGCGATTTTGCAGTACTTGCCACGCTTGGCACGTAAGTATATATTACTTCAATGCTTGGCAGGCAGGTTGGCTTACGAATTGCTATCAGGACAATGCTGCTGCCCATCTCCAGTTTCAGTTTCCGTCCGTCGCCTCTTACAACCCCACGATGACAATATGGACTAGTGGATATTCTTACACCGCCACTACACGGTTATCATGGTATATGAATTAAAACTTATATTAAATTATATATATATATATATAAAAGTAAAGTAAAGTTACAGCCTATATACGTCCCACTGCTGGGCTCGGGCCTCCCCCTCATTTCTGAGAGGGTTTAGGGCAAGGAAGTGTCCGCCGCGCTGCCCAAATGCGTGTTGACGAACTTCACATGTCTTCGAAATATTTTTTCTTATTCCTCAGACATGCAGGTTTCCTCACGATGTTTTCCTTCACCGCCGAGCACGTGGTAAATCAGCACTTAAAATTGCAATTAACAATTTCATTGGTGCCGGCGGGGATCAAACGCGGGTTACTCTCGCGTTCTGTTATATTTACAGCGAGCGTTAACCACTGAACTACCACGGCTCTTATATATATATATATATATATATGTATATATATATATATATATATATATATATATATGTAGCATTTATATTATAAATAAAAGCAAGTTAAGGCATCGATCGCATTTAGTAGAGACGCAATAAAGTTATATCATGACCTTTGTATCACACCTTGGATTTCCACGGGGTGAGAGGCGGGGCCAGAGAAGCCCGCACGATTTTCGTAGTTGCAACCTGTATTATTTGCACTAGACTACGTCAGATGTACATGAGATTAAATATCCAGAGATTGTGTCGTATTTATCTCAGTATAATATTATTGTAAGTGGCTCAATAGAAAATATAAGTACCACCAATGTCACCCTTCTACACAATTTTTTTAATAGAGTAACAGGATAAACGAGCACAAAGTCCACCCGATTGTAAGTGGATGCCATGGTTCATAGATATCTACATCTATCATCGATTAAGAATGAAAATGCATATGTGTTGTCACTGCTGAGGACTAAGATGGAATGGATCGTTACTGGTAAAAAGGGTCTCCGGTTCTCTACACTCACCATACGAAACACAGCAGCATTATGCTGCTATTTTATGCTGGTATTCTTTGAGAGCGTTTTCCTGCCCCGGTTGAGCTGACCCATTCGTGCTACAACTATAATATAGCTGCAGTGTGGCTTTACCACGTATCTCTTTTAGTTTTTCATTGTAGATTTTTGCTATGTACCCAGGATCATAGAAGATGTTACAATTATGCCACTGTCATCAAACAAATACACAAACGCACACAAGCGCGGGGTTTACATACAATCATTCTACAATAGTACATATAGACGCGAAGCGACACAACGCGATATTTAGTACTGCTGACATGGACATCGCGTGATTATCTCCGTCTGCAACAATAGGTTAACCTCGCGATTGTGTACTTGCTTTACGATATGCTTGTATAAAGATCCCATAGGTACCCGTTCACTCTGGTAAAACTATATTCTCTCAAATATCGTAATCTCCCTATTAGAAAGATATTCATTTTTTATATAGTCCGCAAATATTACGCATAGATCGCAAGATATTCTTGCTCATTCATGTACGGTCAGAAAAAAAAATTTTGGCTTAACAACCAGCATATATGCTGTTTTATAATGATAATAGTTTCTGCTGTTTTTCTTTTCAATAATTACACAAGTGATATAATTTTAAATTTTGTACAAGCGACTTCAATATAAATAAAATGAGAACATTATCAATGCATTAGAAGTTGTTGAATTAAATACCCAATATTAAGGATAACTCCAAAAACTACTGGTCAGATCTTGATCATCTTATGTGGTCCCATATATGTTGATGAGAAGTATCAAATTTCAAATAAAAAATCATCAAAACCGATTCACCTAGAAAAAAGTTCTGTGATAACACGCATAAAAAACATGTAATCGAATCGAGTATCTCCTCCTTTTTTGAAGTCAGATAAAACATATTTCTTTTCTATCACTATCTCTCCCACAAAAAAAAACTAGAAAATATTACCATATCAATATGTTGCCATACTTAAAAAACTGATTTTGATTTTGATTGAGGCCAAACTTGCTGATATATTTTCTTTCCAATTACGGCTGATGATTTCAAACTTCTATTTAAATTATAATATAATAGGCATAAAAAAGAATGCAAATTTAATCATTTTCAGAAATTAAAAATTTACAAAAAATTATTGTACAACTTAAATATTGTTAGTTACTTAATCTACATTATAACTAAGAGCTTATGCACACAGTTCATTTAAAGTGAAGAAGTTACTACAGGGCACCCTCTATATAACGAAACTAGAAAATATTTGTTATACCAAGTAATTCGTTACTGTGGTGAACAAAATATCAAGACTAAGAGTCAAAAACGTGCACACAGTCCACCCGATGGTAAGTGGATACTGTGGGGCTTAGACAATAACATCTATTTTCGACTAAGAGTTAAAATCAAGATGCGATATCACCACTGAGGGCTAAGATAGAATGCACACATATTACATAACATAGCAGCATTAAGCTGCTATTTAACTTCAGTATTCTCTTTCAGTCAAAGCGACCCATTCATGCTGCATACATGATAGAGCTCCAGTGTACGCTCTACCTCGTCAATAATATATAAGATACTTGTGAAAATACAATTTATAAGGCTTCACCGTTCACTAATTTGTCGGATATCTGGATTGACACCTTATTAAGTCCATTTGAATTTTCATTTACTATTTTTTGCATAAATGTCAAAACTATGAAAGTAATACTTCATATCCAATGTTCATCTAAGAAATTATATCCTGTGTGCATATGCCTTAATATAAATCAACCGCCTACAAAATTCCGATGACGCCGCAAGCGACACGACCACCGGCATTTCCAGTCTTCTTAGAATCAGGATGGCTCGATCTGCCGAAGTCATCTGCCTTCGCGTGGAGAACCACAGCACGGCCTATGATAGGGTACTGTCCGGTCAAGCTAATGATTCCATCAACATAGTCAATAGTGCTGACGCGGTTTTCGTCGAATACGATGTTACCCAGGTCGCCAACATGGCGGTTCTCGTCATTTGGGTGGCCGTGGTCTTTCTGCAAATTAAAAGCGAATGTATTTGCTTTCTAAAAATATAAATGTATGAATATCAAAAGTGCTGAAAATATAGAAATTATTGGTCTTTATATTTCGACTACCGATTGCTCCCGGAAATAATGGTAAATTGTTAATAGTTGCTCTCTAAGGGACTATGCCATGCCATATGGACAAAGTCTACCCGCGTACCGTAAGGCGAAAAGATAACTCAACTTTATTCATGATTTCCGTCGTCCGTAACTATTTTCAAAAATCCTTCTTAGTCCTTGTCTACACTATAAAAGAAATGTCTATGCAAAATTTCAGCTAACACCCAAAGGTTTGAGCTGAAGGTTATATATTGATGATGATAGTAATATTCCTTATATTTTTTCCTAAGCATAAGAAAGTATCGCGTTTCCTAACTGTTATTTTAAAATTTTTAACAATTTTCAGGTTTCACTAAAACGTTAGTGTGCCTAATGAAACCAGAGTCTGATCCTGGACAATTCAAAGTCATTTAAACTTAAGTTTCAAACCCACTTTGGAACCACACAAAAAGTCGATGAACTTTTGTTTTAGCTGGCGTTTTCTTATTGTTTAGTGTGAATATGTTAGATTTAAATGAGTATACCATAATTTAAGCATAAAATAAGAGTTAAATGAATTCGCTTCGTATAAAGTGTTACAAAAATCGGAAACCTAACTAAGGGAAAAAGACCGTTCATTCTATCATCTTAAAAGCATCAATAAGGTTATAAGTCTTGACACATCATGAAAGTTAGAAAAAGGTCATTTCCACTTACCATCAGAGAAACTACCTATTTGTTTGTCAACAGTAGTGACATAAAATACCTTGATCTGAAGAAGGGGTAATTTTATATGTCCTTCCATTAAATCCAATTTCTGGGAATTAAAACCTAAAAACTTACATGTGCAGGGTTATAGTGCGACCCGGTTGAGAGGCATCCTCCTGTTATATCTCCTTTTTCGTGGATATGAAAACCGTAGTGTCCAGGTGGCATGCCAACAATCACACCCTGGATGTGAACCTTACCATCGGTTAACTCTGTGAAGGTCACGTTACCGTTAACCTCTCCACCATTTGGTTCTGCTAATTTCACTATGGCTCTAAACTGACCGGTCTGAAAAATTATTGTTTATTAGTGTTTTCAAAATAAAGTAAAATATCTATATTAATCGTTGGTTTTAGTAATCGTGTAACTTTTGAACGACTTAACCGAGTGAGTGAGATCACAAAATCTGGAACGGTTAGATGGCGTCGATTAGTAATGGTGGAATTATTAATAAAATTTGTACAGCAAACGATTTTGTGAATGAGTGACGGAGTGAACTTATTACATTTTCACACCGACAAACAACGAGTTGATCCCAATTTTCAGCATTGAATTATGACGTATGAAATTTATGATGTCGATAAAGCAAATTTAAACTATTTTGATAGAAAAAATCGACAATGGCTTAAATAAACTTTTTCTAGAAACTCACTACCACTGGGGAACAAAATTCTTTACAAATATATTATAAATAGTTGCACTTAGCGAAGTAAAAGATTACTGCATTCGTACTGTATAAATCAAAAAATGTCGTGAAAATTAAAAAAAAATTACGATTTAGACAATTTTCACGAAAATCTAATAAATTACGACAACCAACTGACAACTAAAAGACGAAAATATTCAGACTGGAGCCATTGACTGGATTGAACAAATATATGGATCGACAAAATAGCGTTGGCCCCAATACTCGCACAAACTTACAAACATCGATAGTTCTCCGGTCTATGTCGGTTTCTACAAAAAAAAATACGCACCAATATTTGCAATGTTTCAACATGTTGGGAATTGTTCACTTCTGCGCTCATCAAGCACGCACTATATTAAACCAAGATGGCTATTTCTTCTATTGCAATAACAAAAATATTGATATTACGCCCTATATATCATAAAAGCAATTTATGAATCAAACATTTTCATTTTAGCTTTGACTAGATTGAACACAATCACTAACTAAGGCTGGTACTAACGACGGGATCAACGTATGAAACCGGTGTAACTTACATGTGAAAATAATAAATAACAGAACTCTAACGAATCATCGTTTTTGCTTTTAATTTTGTAAAGTGACAAATGAAACATCAACATAATGCCAACATACAACAGTTAGAAACACCGTATTAAAATAGTTCATCCAATAATAGGTGTCGATTGAGCAATATCTAAACGATTTCTTATATTTACGCGAACACTATACATTGATTAAAACTACTTTTACGGATTTTGTCGCGTTTTATTTATATTAATTTTAATACCCGACGTTTCGGGTGCTTTCCAGCACCCATGGTCACGGGGGACTGAGGTAACTGACGTCCCGATGTCAAAGTTAACCCGGAGTACCTTCAGCTTTTTAATTATTGTCTTTGGTCCGATCTACGCAGAATGAACTAACTGTATTTTGAAGTCTTGCAGTGGTATGCTTGGGTTTAGTTTTAATTTTATTAATTATAGGATCCAACAACTACCAACTACTACCACCTGCTTGGGATCCTATAATTAATAAAATTAAAACTAAACCCAAGCATACCACTGCAAGACTTCAAAATACAGTTAGTTCATTCTGCGTAGATCGGACCAAAGACAATAATTAAAAAGCTGAAGGTACTCCGGGTTAACTTTGACATCGGGACGTCAGTTACCTCAGTCCCCCGTGACCATGGGTGCTGGAAAGCACCCGAAACGTCGTATTAAAATAATATAATGCGACAAAGTAAAAGGTTTCGATCGAGCAATATCTAAACGATTTTATTGAAAGCAATCTTAATCAGTATTTGTCACACTTATATGCAGCCGACTGTACCCAGAATATAGGTACTTACTTGTTCATGGTGAGCTGACACAAGCACAGCGGCAGATGCAAATAGTATTATGTACATCATCTTGTTTTATTGTACTGCAACAAATATTATGTTTAGTTTAAATTCTAATATATTGCGTCAACTTCAAAAACTAGATCAACGATGCTGTCCTAAATACTAGAAAGTATAACTATTCATCAAGGTTGTGGCTTCTTTTTTTGCTATTTTCCTGTGTTCCATCATTGCCCGCTATATCTTATTAGGAATCTAGCTAATTTGTTCTAACGTTATTTCTGTAAATTTTATATAAAATTTAACATAAATAAGTTAGGGATTATATAAAAACTAACAGAAATAACGCTAGCCCGAACAAAAACCCCTCACTTTCCACTTTTCTACATTTGTAATAATATTTATAGCTCGTAAAATAAAAAGACATTATAAAAACACTTAAAGTTATAAAACTTGTAAGGAAGTAGAAGGACACGACATTTAAAACGGATTTTTAATCATGCGGCCTGGATTCGAATCCCAGCCAGAGATAACTTCCCTTACCGATCGACTTTCAAACCTTTCGCGCGTGGGTTGACGTCTTCTATTTCATCCCACAATGTTACATCATCAACGTAAATAAGTAAAGCCTATTTAAAGGTTGCCACCACAATTCAATAACTAATTCACACTGACAAGTAGAATTACATCATGCGGTATTATTGCTACATTAATGCCAAGAAAGGAAACATACATGTCGCTATGTCCAATCGCAGAATAATTTACCATAACATGCAACAGTACTACTATACAAGTTTTGATTTCGTCAAAGATTAACTGATACTTAACTAATGGATAGTTAACTTATGATCAAATATTCAAACGCTACTCAAATTTAAGATGTCATTAAGTCTCGTGGTGTCACAGTAACTTTGCCTTAAATTTATAGAGACAGCTTAAAGTTGATGAGCGTTTGAATATTTGGACATTAGTTCTATATTTCCTCTCACAGCCAAATCCACACATTTTAAATTTGAAAAAAATTCATAAGAATTCGTAAGAAAATTCAGAAATTTTCAAAATTTTTATTATAAAACTAAATTGACAAATATAGTTACAGTCCACTGCAGTCCAGCCGACTCCAAACAAGGAAGGTAACAGATGCATTGCACCTCTGAGGACTATGATGGAATGCGTCACATTTCATCATAAACACTCACGCCTGTCACCCAGAGGGGTAGGCAGAGACTACAGACTTCCATTTGGCACGATCCTGACACACCTCTCTCGCCTCCTTCACATCCATACACCTACGCATACATGCTCGTCGGTTAAGGGTACTCCTAATTTGGCCCGTTTTCAATAAATCGCCAATTTGGTCGATATATTTTCGCCTAGGACGTCCCTTACCGACTCTGCCATTCACTTCTGCAACATAAATTTTCTTTGTCACTCTTTCCTCATTCGTTCTTTCCACATGACCAAACCACCGAAGCATTCCTTTCTTAATCCTGGTCACAACATCATCTTGCAAACCACACTCTTCTCTTATTACACAATTTCTTACCCTGTCGTTCAGATTCAGCCCTAACATACTCCTTAAGGACCGCATTTCTACTGCGTTGATTCTACTCTCATGCTTCTTCTGCCACACCCAACTTTCACTACCATACGTTAAAGTAGGGACCAACACAGCATTGTGAATTGCCATACGTGCCTTTTTTTGACACATTTTGACTCTTCACAATAGAGTGCAGGGCCCCATTTACTCTATTTCCCGCATTCACTCGTCGTTCTATATCATTATCATATCTTCCATCCCTGCTAAATACGCAGCCCAAATATACAAATTCAACTACTTGCTCGATCAACTCCCCTTCTATTCTTATTTCACATTTGTAATTATATTAGCTGTCTAAACCCTTCAACCCGGGATAAAGCAGCAGAAGTGCAACATAAGACAGACTCTTATGCAGAATAGGCGTCCTACCGGTCAGAATATTATAAATTTTTAATTTAAGTAAATTTTTCCGAGAATCCGAGGTATACTGGATAATTTTTTTTACCGTCTGGAACAAAAATAGGGTGTAACAGGTGAACGGAATAGAAGCCTATGGGCACAGTTATTTTACAAGTTTTTTTTGCTTTTATATTAACATATTATGGAATTGATCTATCAATGAATACTACTAATTATTGTACTTATTGATAGATCAATTTCATATTATGTTAACGTAAAAAAATGCAAAATATCAATGCCATAGACTGCTATTCCGTTCACCTGTTACACCCCATTTTTATTCCAGTCGGTAAAAAATTCACCCAGTATAAAACTATTCTTAATTCAATATGTTAATACTTAATAAGGACGCGGTACGAAAACATGCTTAAAATAGAACGTAGAAGTATTAAAGGGCAAACATTTTAAAAACAGATTAAAATATTTAGCACGATAACGATCGATCGCACAAGGTTTTATTTTAAATATTAATGACAAACAAGCTTCTGTTAAAACATAGAGTCACGCTGCATCTTTATTATGTTTATGTACGAATGATTCCGCTCGACCGGGGTAGGGCTACGCAATCAATAATATCATCCCCAAATAGCTTAATGCTGCTGTGTTTCGTACAGTAAGTGTAGAGAACAAGAGATTATTTTTACTGGAAACGAGGCATTCCATCTCAGTCTTCAGGAGTGACAACGCATTTGCGTTTTGGTACTTTATTGAGGATAAATGTAGACGAATTTGAGCCACAGTATCCATTTACCATCAGGTAGACTGTGTGCCCGTATGTCATCCTTATTCTATAAAAAAAAGCTAACGGGCAACCTGACAGTATGTGGTTACTGCAAATCATCACGGACGAAGACAGAACATCTGCCTCCATTTTTACACAGAGTAGGTAACGGATGCGTTGTTACCTTTGAGAACTTAAATGGCCCCACAGCCTGTACTTAATTATACTGTCAAGGTAAACTACAAACACAACAATGGTAGTCCAACTGCGTTGCGACAGAAAAAAATAAGATGTTGGTACCAAGCCAGATGTTTTTTTAGAAATACATATTTAGATTAATAAAATTGGGGCACACAGTCCAGCTGACGACAATGGATCCTGTGGTCAATTGATCGAATACAGAACTGAGATGAAATGGTATTTCATACCAGTTCAATACCAGTAAAATGGGTTTCCGGTTTTCAAGCTACAGCCCCAATCTGATGCTGCGTGGCTGCATCACTTAAAAATATCAATTAAAGGGACTCCTTGGCTGAACACGCGAACTTCTACCTCATTCTTTCTCTACTGGATTACTTACGATCGGATGGACTGATAGCACGTTTGCATTATAATATTTTAATAATAAAATATGTAAAAATGAAGTTCAGTCCCTTTTAATAATTTTTAATATTACATTTTTTGTTAATAAATTTTTAACTATTATAAACGAAGTTTATAATCAAAATAATATATAAAATCATATACGTATACATATACAAATATAAATATATACGTGACTCATAAAAGTTAAGAACGATAAAAAACCAATTAAAGTTTAATTAAGTGTAATCTATTGACATTTCTAATTGCTACTATGTTAGAACTGGAAAAATTTGCCCGCGTCTGTCTTTTCGTCCGAATACAATCTGGGCGTATGTAGGCAAGGGTTAATAAGCTTTTGTTACGCTAAGATAGTGCGATTTATCATCTAAGACTTCATCACCAGTTATCACCAGGTGATGTTGCGATCAAACACTGGCAAGTTAAAAAATATCTGTATGATAACACAGAATCTCCTATCGCACTAAATGTGACACAATCGAAGCATGTAAAATAATCGGTACTTGACTTTGGATCTAAAACATACGTAAATATAATTCTAAGATAATTTTGGGAAGAAAAATTCAATAATTTTTATACGATAATACTTAGAGACAATAGCTCACAGATATATATAATATAATAGAAAACAGATGCCCTTTTACAAGATTTTTTATACCATCAAAGTATTGTGGGCACAGATAAACAAACTATTTGTTATTTTTATTTGATTATTTAGTGAATAAATAATGTAAAAATGCATTTTAGTAGACTTATGATACAGATACAGCGTATGACATAAAGTATATGTACGTGGATGACTTAAATGAAAACTACTACTGGACTGGACTTTATATTCAATACAAGGGCTCCTCTGGGAGACGATGCAGGCGCTATGTTGTGAATTCATAGATAAAAGAAACCCTCAATTCGACAAACAAGGCTTTATAATAAACCGCGTTCAAAAGTAGAACAGTTAAGTGCAGCTTATTATAGTTCCAGCACAAATAAAACGGCTCGACCGGGGAAGTACCACGCTTGCACAAAAAACGAATGTGATAAATAGCATCATGATGCTGCTGATTGTAGCATGATGAATGACGAGAACTAGCGACCCGATTTACTGATGAAAATGCATTTCATTAAAGTCCTCAGGAGCGACTACAGGAGGTTAGATGTAGATGCTGGGGGCCGCTACATCCACTTATAATCAGGTGGACTGTGTACCCTCAGTTTTATAAAAAAGAAGATAAGTGTTATAATTATACCGACTTCATTTAAAACATTCGTACCATGTTGATCTGGGACTGATTTATTTATTTATAAGCTTTATTGTTTTAACCATAAAGGTAAAATTAACTTAATAAAGGGACATATTTATAACACATAGGTATTAAAATAAGACTTATAATTTACTCAAATGCATATAGTATCCAGATCAAACAAATCATCCGTATATACCAATTATTTTTAATACACCAATTTAATATACATGCGTAAATTAAATTATACATGAATAAATATATAAGTACTTAAATAATAATCTTATAGGTACTATGTTAAAGCAACACTGAATAACAAAAGAGAATTTTCCTACTGGGTCACTTGCTTAACATATCGTAAAAGGCGACTAATAGGATAATAAAAGGTTTGTCATGGTGTAAGCGATGGGCTAGCCATATATTTTGGCTAAATGTGGCCCGACTAGCCACTGCTCTGTGGACTCTCTCTTCTCTAACTCTCTCGGGAACAACAGCAGTGATGCTA